TTTTGTTGTCAGCCATGATTTTGCTATTTTTAGGTTTTATGTACAACTTTGCTGAGTTTAGTTTTTTTAGCTACAGTTTTACCATTTTTAGCTTTTATCTTTGATTATGCTAATGTTAGCTTTTAGCTACTATTTTGCAAAGTTTTGTTTTCAGCCACAGTGTTGTTATTTTTAGGTTTTATGTACAACTTTGCTAATTTTAGTTTATTTAGCTACAGTTTTGCCATTTTTAGCTTTTATCTTTGATTATGCTAATGCTAGCTTTTAGCTACAGTGCTGCTATTTTTAGCTGATGCATTCGTGTACCTGTTCAATGTATAAAATCGTGCTCTGAGACACTGACCTGATTCGGTCCTTGGTTTTAGAAATGGTCTCGTTGTCCTTTTTCCAAAAGATGAGCGGAGGAGGCGTTCCCGCCACGCGACACTCCAGCCTGATGGGGATCCCCTCAGGAATCCCCATGTTCTGCAGCTTCTCCACAAACTGGGGCGGCTGCTTCATCTCTTTCTCTGAGGCAGAGACGACACTGGTTCCACAGATAGAATCGGACAAACCGCACGCGAGCACACAACTTTTATTTAACCCTCACCGACAACTTTCAGCTCCAGATTGAAGGAGCTCTGCCCGGCTTTGTTGCTCGCGATGCAGGTGTACGTGCCGGCGTCATTCTGCGTCAAAGGGTCGATGACCAGGGAGTGGACGCCGTTCTCCCGGACCAGCATCCTGTGGAGAAGGTCTGGATAGATGGGCCTCCCGTTGACCAGCCACATCAACTCTGGGCTGGGCAGGCCGCTCACCTGAAACATAAAATAAAAGCAATGAGACGAAAACTCTTCGTTATTCGAGCTTGTTTGATATCAACTGTCAGGAGATTTTTGGTCAAGGTTTATGGATGTTTTTATCTACAATGGCTGAGAATGTTAACTGCCCATGAACCATATGTTTGAGTTAACAGAGTTATTTTCTCTCTCAGAAAGGGCTGAACGTGGAGTTGATTTGATCCTGCATGTGCAGCTGGGTGGTCGAGGTCATCAGTGTCTGCCTGTCAGGGTTGATAAGATTATAAAAACAAGCGTCGCACGCTGCCCGGTGCAGATTCTTTTACTGGAATGGACTCGTACACCTGTGTGACCTGTTGTGAAAGTCTGCACCTGCAAGTAAAATCTGTTTAAAAAAAAATCTTCTCGTGTCCTCGAGTGCGACGACTTTGAGTGAGTAAGATGAATAGAGAATATTTTTATCCAACATTAAACATGACGACTTACTTTACAGTCTAGTCTGCAGAGTTTCCCCTCGTGAGCCATCATGTCCCCCGGAGCCTGGAGGAAGTGAGGCCGGAAGAAACGCTCCTGGGTTTGTTCACCTTCCACCTCCTGAATGCGAGCTCGCACCCTGACAGGAAGTACGGGTCACAGGACACAGACAGAGACGCTAATCAAATTCTTAGTTTTCTACTTTGACAGGGATTACAGAGCAGCGAACAAACCTTACATCCAACTCTTTTTAGGATTCACAAATGGCTGCTACGTTTAGGACCATCACATCCTCCTGTTATCAACTGCCGCCAAAATGGAAACAAAGTTTTTGCTCGTGTCTCTACGGACAAAACTTTATGAAACTCTCAGAAAATAATGATTGGATGAACATCAACAACTGATTGACTATTGGAGCCACCCTGATTCAAGATGGCCACCACTGCTAATTGGCATTAGCTAACACAAACCTGGCTGTAGTTCCGTCATATTTACAGAAATTGAGCTAAAATCTGGAGTGGTAGTAGCTGAGAGTCGTTCCTGACACATACGTCTGAGCATTAACACATATGGTTGTTTTAAAGGTTTGACCCTAACGACTACAACTCTGCGATTCCTCAACATGAGATGATCTTAGTTTATAACTCTGGCAGGTGATCTGCAATATTTCAATATTTCTTAATATTTCTTTAATGAGCTTAACCTCTGATCCCCTCTCTGTACTCTCTTCCACCTGCTTGCTGCTCTCATACATTTAGTGAAGTCAATTTATTTATAAAGTACATTTTCTGGAGGGCGGTCATCGTCCATTGCTGCAGTTGTTATCGTCAAGGTGCTAACAGAACCACATTGCTAACAGGACCATGCTGCTAACAGAAACACACTGCTAAAAGAACCAAATTGCTAACAGGATCACATTGCTAATAGAACCACATTGCTAAAAGGACTGTGCTGCTAACAGGACCATGATGCTAACAGAACCACATTGTTAACAGGACTGTACTGCTAACAACCACACTGCTAAAAGAACCATATTGCTAACAGGACCACACTGCTAAAAGAATTGAATTGCTAACAGGACCATGCTGCTGACAGAGCCACACTGCTAAAAGAACCAAATTGCTAACAGGATCACGCTGCTAAT